TTTTCATGTGCCAAAATGGCTAAAAAAGATGTTTTTTTCAAACTATGGCTAAAATTTGTGTTAGCCATTTCAACATGGCTAAAAAAAAAATTCACTGTTATATAAAAGCATGCACATATCTCGTGGGGGTTTATTTACACACTACAAGGAAATGATAAAATAACATCAGAAATATATTCCAATAGAGTTATTCCAACAACAATTTCAACGGATATTTCAATACTATTATTTACGTACGTTTGGAATTTTTCAATTGATTCCAACAGAAATTTCAACAGTTTGGAATTTTTCAATTGATTCCAACAGAAATTTCAACAAAAATATTCCGTTGAAATGAGTTTTATATTGAAATTTTAGTTGGATTTGACGATTTCAACGTTGGATTTTACAACGGGTTAGAAATAAAAATTCCATCGGAAATTGCATATTTCAACGGAAATTTTTATAATAAATAGACGTTGAAAATACAGCCAAATTTTATTTAAAATTCCAATAAAAAACGCATTTCAACGGAATATTTCAGATGGAATTTCTGTTGAAACCATTCTAACAGAAATTATACTATTGAAATATTCGTTTAATTTTCATTGAAATATATTACAATAGGATTTTTTTTAAATATAATAATTTTCTATGGAACGATATATTATAATTAATAAAATTTTCTATTGAAATATAATATTTTTTTTGAAATATATTACAACAAGATTTTTTGTTGGAATATAATAATTTTTTTGTATCGACATTTTATCCATTTGTGAAAATGTTGGATTTAAAATAATAAAAAATGAAAAATAAAAACACATGATATATATCTAGGGGGAGCGCTCGAATAAAAGCCCAATTCGAGCTCGAGCACCTCAAATTTGACAGCGAATTGAGCTCGAGTTTGTTCTTTGTAAGTTCTTTTGTAGGTTAGATTATTGGAGAGACGTCATTCGAGTATGTGTATAACTCGAAAGCAAAATTAGCCTTAATTAATCCGATTAGATTTCAATCTGTTTGTATAATAATATTGTCTTGTTGATCTGTGTTGAGTCTTGACATACTTGGCTTGTGCAGCAGTCCAACGAATTATGTTTATATTTTATTTCACACGTTTTTTAATCGTTGGTTATCATTTCGTATTAGACATTAAGGCTGCACAAGGTCTAATTAAATTTGTAAAATATCGTCACCCTTGAAATATCGTAATCTAAGGCATTTGCCTCGTTCTTTGTACAAAAAAAATCGTAAAATATCTTTTAAGGAAATTATGTACATTGTTTTTTAATGCTATTGTTATATAAAACAATGCTATTGTTATATAAACATTCACGTGCACATGGACAAACATTAGGTATTATTCTCTAAGCGGCAACGACTATAGGTTCAGTGAATATAAAAAATAATTCAGAATAATATATTATATTTTAATCATTATTCAATAGGTAATGGCCACATATATGTACATGCCCATTATTGTCATCAATATATGCACATTTTTATTAAATTGTAAACAATATAATGTTTAATTTTACTATATAGTTTTCGAAATTTTGTCTCTTTAATAATCTATATGCTTTACTAAACCTCATAAAAGACCATCCGGTGTTAACCATGTGATGTATGATTTTTTTTTTTTTTAGGAGAGTTCGACTTGATTTGTTTGATAAACGAGTCAAGCTTAAGTTTATTTAAAACTCATGTAGCTGACGACGGGGCTTGGCTTAGTTCGCTAATTTCAAGAATGTTTTTTTTTTCATATAATTAATGTTTTGTAGTTCAACTTGAACTTGCTAAGGAGTTCAACTCGAATCCGACTAGTTAATATTAGCTCGTTAAATGTTTGAGCTCAAATACCATAAACTCGAGTCTGGTTCGACTCGTTTACACCCCTAGTCCTCAATACCAAATTTAAAATTATAAACATAAACAAGAGTTCTATGAGGAGATTATAATAATAATGTCATATATTTGCTAGCTCAATTACCAATTTTGGCACCTTTTTTTTCGATTAATTTTGGCATCTCTCACTATATAATACCAATTAATTAATATTTCAAACCAAATACTTTGATTGCCGTGGATGATTTGCTTCTGTCATATATATATGAATGTTCCAAGTCTTAAGAAGAAGCAAAACCTACTTGCAACTTCACAATTTAATTTTTGTTTTAATTAAATATTACTTTCTATATTATATATGATATATGTTTGATAAGCACAAGCAAAGCTTATACCTTATTAATTTAGCTTTATAACCTTTGTATTCAATCTAGTCATTTACTCTCCTTTGATAGAACTAACGTTGTCAAAAATCATGTTACAAATATAGGGAAATGTTCAATTCCGTTACAGAACCAGGATTTATAACCGTTAGATCATCATGTAACTGTCCTGGATAATTGATCTAGTGGTTATGAATCCTGAAGGAATGATTCTATAACGGGACAGTAGAATCTCCCATAAATATATATATGTATGCCGATTTAATTGCATATATTATTTTGGTGGAATTGCTAGCTAAGTATTGTTATAATTAATCAATAAATAAACGCTGCTGGGTTAGAGGCTACAAAAATTACCACATATAATAACAAAAAAAAAATGTTACAGTAATAATGATGCTTAGCTTGCATGTTAACAGCTAATTATACACTTTTAGTTACCAAAACAAATTAGGGAAGGGAAATAATTTAGTTAAAAATAAATTTAATTTTCTTAAAAAATATATTGAATATAGTGGTGAATTTTTGAATTTTATTAAAAATATATTGAAATAGTTTTGTATTGAAATATGCAATTCCCCTGTAACCGAGAAAACACTATTACTGAAACACCCTCGGTAGCTTTATAAAGCGCAGATGATACATACGGCAATTTAGCGGCAAATTGAGGGTATAAAGGACAATAGAATTTCCACGTACGCAGTTAACTTTAATATATAAATATATAAATAAATATAAAAATACAGGGAATACACAAACAACAATACAAGAGGCTCATAAGTCATAACAGGTGATTTTCCATTAAAAGGTTTCTCTCTCTCTCTCTCTCTCAATTGCAGGTAATTTATCTC